TTTTAAGTGGGAGAACTTGCACAATTGGTGGCTGACTAAATACTTTTTTGCCCCACTGTATACAGTATATAATCTCAAATAGGAAATGAAACCAGAGCTACAAATGTGATGAATTTTCACCAAACACAGCATTGTCCTATTTCTTTTCTTGAGATACACAATACACAAGTTTGAATTGTTTGTGTACAACTCTGTGCGTAGCTCTGCACAAAACTTTTTAGCTAGGTTTATTTCATTGCTGCCTTTGATTTAGTAGCATATCTCACTGCAATGAAATAATCTGAAGTTTCAGGTAATTGGTGATGAACCCATTCAGCAACCTTGGTTTGGGTATATATGCTTCCACTACGACTACCAGAGAGATTTCACTCAAGATGATAGTAATCATCAAGTTACAGTGATGGTATATCTGCTTTTTAAATAGGCAATTTTAAAGTAGTTCCTTTCTAACTTGGCTAGTATCCATCTTTGCTTTTTTCTTTCTAATTCAGTTACGGAGCAATATTCCCTGTTACCTCACTGACATTTCCTGCGGTCTTTCCTGTGATCGAATGTTAAAATGTGGAATGCACAAATGTAAAAGGATCTGTCACAAGGGAGAATGCCTCATAGATGAAGAGTGTAGACAGCCATGCACTATTCTTAGACTACACTGTAATCATCCATGTATGTCTCCATGCCATCCATCTTTACCTTGTCCTACAACTTCTTGTAGTTCAAAGGTAGGTGGCTTTGAAAATTCTTTATGGCTTTCAAGCAAGCACAGATGTCACTTCAGTAAATAACCTAAATATTTCAAATAAATGTTTTGTTACATTTTTTTGCTGAAATATTTGCTATATGTATTTGTAGGTTCCAAATTGTATTGTTTATTTATCTAAAAGAGACACTAAACTAATTGCCCACATCTCATTTAAGTCTTCCTTTCATCCTAAGATTTCTTAATGTTTAATTCAATTTATATTATACTGAAGTAGATTGATCTTGTGGTTTGAATGGCTAAATGATCTTAGAGTATCTTAAGAAAGCTGACACCCGAGCTACCTGGGCCGCTTTTTCCGTAGTTTCTTTGTTTACTTTATTTGTATGCTGCCCATTCCCAAAGGGCCTGGTGGCTAACCATCAGAAATATCACTAAGCAAAAGAAAAAAATTCAAAAAGAATAGATAAAGCCACCCATAAAATAAACCAAATCAATATCACAATTATACAAGAGAAAACGTACAATAAACATGCATCTACCAAATTCAACTGTTCATTCACAGCATGCCCTCTTCCTGTGAAGGGACAGACCAGATTACTGTGGAGAGGAATTCCGGAGTATGAAGGTAGTGATCAAAAATGCCAACTTCCAAAACCCCATCTGATGGCATTTTCTTATAGACAGGACCTGGAGGGTTTTGGCTTTTTCAGCCTGACCGAATGGGCAGTTGAATATGGGAGAACATGTTCCCACAGATAACCCAGCCCATAGCTATGAAGGGCTCTAAAAGTGACAACCGGCACCTAGAAGCCAACTGGCAACCAGTGCAGTCCCAACCCATCACTATCTGGGCTGTGGTATTTTGTACCAGCTGTAACTTCCAAATACTTTCCAAAGGCAGCCCTATGCAGAGCTTGTTACAGTAATCCAAGTGGGAAGTGATTAAGGCACTCAGCTTTAATCAGTCCAGGCATGATTGCAATTGTCACTCAAGATATAACTGTATCACAGCAGCCACCTGCTGATTGAATAGGACCTATGTATTCAGGAGGACTCCCAAATTGCAAACTACCTCTGAATGGAGGAATCAAAGGATCTTTCCCTGGAATTGTTTAGCCACAACCATAAAGTTCCTCTGTCCTGGAGGGATTAAGTCTATGTCCCTACTTTCCCATACAGACTCTAATGGCTTCTAGGCACACAGTTAACAGTTCTACTACAGAACCTGTTTGGCCTGGGCCTATAATGTCTAGCTGGGTATTATCACAATTTTCATGATAGCTGACCCCTTGCTCTGTCCTTCCTCAGTGGTTTCATGTAGATGTTAAAAAGAAACGGAGAGAGTAGAGAGGCCTGAGGCATTTTACAAAGTAGAAATCTCTGGACAGATCTCCCCCACCACCCCTGACTAGTTATACAGTTTGTTGAGTCTTCCTCACTGCAAGATGAATAAGATGCATATTGTCTCATATATTTTGCCTTAAAACTCTTCTAGTCTGCTCAGCATAAATTTTAGCAGATAATTAGAATTGCTTAATGTCATAATTATGACACTGGAAGCTAAGCTGTCTTGAAATCAACAAAGCAATCCATTTCATTCTGGTCAGTAAAAGAGCACTTTGTTGCTGCTTCAAATTAGCAATTGAAATGTTAAATTTCTGTGATACTAATTACTGTTTTTCTGATGTTATAGGTTGAACTTCAGTGTGAATGTGGAAGAAAAAAAGAGTCTATGATTTGTTCAGAAGCAGCAAGTACTTATCAAAGGTCTGTTAAGGCAATGACATATGCATATTTTTTTTTTATTGCACAGAAGCAGAAGAATCGAAGAATCTTGTATAGCTGTGATTTCATTTCCTTCTGAATGTAGTCATATAGTATCAATTAATCCAGCTGTCATGGACAATATTCCTCCTCAACTAATTTTATTCCCTTGGTTCATATTGAATACTGTAATGAGTTCTCTCACTCTGAATTGTATAGCTATGTAATATATACTGCATACAAATGTTAAAGTTCTTTCTCCTGGGAGTTCTTTTAACATTCTTCAGCAGCAGATTGGCGTTTCTCGTGCCAGAGATAATTTTGGCTCTGTATGAAGTTGCTAATACTTGATACTTTATATTATTCACACTATATATAATGCACATTATCCAGTCTTATGACAATGGAATTCCCACCACTCATTTCTCAGAAGCAAATTGGGGGTGGGGGTGAGGATGAGAAAAGAGAATAAATTCTACTGGCAAATGCTATTAATTCAGCAGGCCTGTAACAGGCCTGTAACAAGCAGGCCTGTAATCAGTCTGGATTAGCTGAGCCACATAACATCTCTTTACAGATTTATATTAGGTTAATAGCAAATCTGAATAGTTGACTAAATATAAAGGGGAGTGTTATCTAATTTTTACAGTTATATATTTTGAGTGAAAAAATGTAAGTTGTGTTATTCTTGAAATCATAACACTAAAACCTGTTAGGAAACAAAGTAACGTGATAGTGTAGTTAAGATCACAAGTGCATGGTCTGAGTACTGGATGGTAGTTTGAATTTTTCAGATTGCAGAATTGATGCCAAAGTTTCATTCATAGGATTTATTTTTCCACTGTCTCTGATAGAAGCAATAATTCAGTCCAGAATGGCAAAGATTTCTGAAATTTCTCTGCTGTGTATATTCAGCCATTGCCCTTAGTACACACAGTAAATTTCGATAGCTTCTTTTAAAGAACTGTGTATGATTCATACAATATTCTCTTCCTTTTTGTTTCCAGAATAGCTGCAATATCTATTGCCTCTAAGTTAACAGATCCACAGCTTGGAGATTCAGTAGAGATAAGTAGATTGATTACCAAAAAAGAAATGAAGCAAACCAGGTAACTAAATCATGAATCAAAAACAGCGGGGGAAGACTTTTTAAATTCAGCTACAGTTTGGCTTTTATGCTGTTTGCTAGAGTCTGTATTAGTTACATTTTAGTTGGTGGATGCAGCTTGTTTATTTGCATGCTTTTAATTGATTTTGTTTCATTATATAAAATTGAAATTGTTATATCGCCTCAATATTTGAAATGGAAAGATAGTGTCTCGTCTCGTCTCATCTCATGTCAGAAATGCAGGAACTAGAAAGGAGATAATTATTAATCTAAATTTAAAAAATTAAAAAACTTGAATAAAAATATAGATTTATATAATTCTTGCCCAATGCTGGGCCACATTAATGGCAGATATTTCCGACCAGCAAGTCATTCTGTATGCACATCAGTCCCAAAGGGCACTGTAAAAGATGGATAGTTGTTGGAATAGACAGACAGTTAATAAAATAATTAAATCAAATGTGATTCTTAAATAGCAATTTTGGCTTGGAGGTGTGCCTGCAGAACATTTTGTAATACTCATGTTCTGTTTAATCCATTATTGTTGCTAACTTTAGATTATCATTGCATTTTCTGTATTAAGCTCTGTATCGTGTGCCAAATGTGGTGAATTTAAACTCTTGTTCTGTGAAGAACTTTGTGCATAAATGCAATAGAGTTTTCAAATAAACATCTCTCAGATATCTGTATCTTGCTCATTTAGGTTGCAGTGTGATGAAGAATGTTTGGCTCTTGAAAGAAACAGGTAATTATCTTATTGATTTTAACACAACAAACAGTATGTGAAGTGTATGTGACTGGAAGGAAATAAGGTAATCTCTTACAGTAAATTAAAAATTGGAATTTGCCTATTGCTAGGCTGGGTAACATTAAATATTTATTCATTTATTATCAGACGGTTTGCTGAGGCTCTTCATATAGATGACAGTTCAGACCCTTTCAACGTTCGTGTCTCTGCACCCAAGTACAGCGATACATTGAAAGAGGATGGAAGGTATGCATCATCATTTTTTACAGGTTTCGGTATGGCACATAATTTTCTCACAAAATCAGGCATTGTGTTAACTTTTGTGAGGATATTAAAACCTGAAAATTATTTGGATTGTTTTCCTAACTATTAAAGGTGTGTTTTTTTAATTTGTTCTGATTGGTGACTCTTTTCCCTCCACATGATTCAGAAATTATTTGAATGTTTTTATAAAGTTTCCATTAAAGTTGGGGGAATTTTCAGAGTCAAAAGTACATATGATGACAGCAGACCAATGCTAAGAGAAGGTTTCTCCTGTTGCATGAAAAAAGGTGGCTGAAGGCTGGTTCTAAGAACCAGTGGACACTTGGACAATGCAATTTGGAATCTTTCTGTACTTGCTATTTTTCTTCTGTACTTGCTTTTTTTTCAGTCAGTTCTCTTCCACTATCTAAATTAGGTTTGATGGAAATAGAAGGCAGGTAGGCCAATCAGAAAAGGATTAAATATTCTACCCATATACTTCTGTTGCCATTTGCATTGTACCTACTATTTATTTATGATTCCTACAACATGGATTTGAATTCACAGTTCTGCTGTCAGGAATAATTTGGCCTTTAGTCACAAAAAATCTGCTGGTTGTTATGCCTGTTATGTCTCTATAATGTTAATACTACAGAGCATTCTCTCCTCCAAGTCCTGCTCTGCTGCCTCATTGTGGTACAGGTAGTCTTTGTTTAGCGACCACAATTGGGACCAGCAACTTGGTTGTTAAGCAAAGTGGTCGCTAAGTGAAGCCGTGATCATGCTTATGATCTTACTTCAGCTTTCCTTTGCTTTACAGACCTACAAAGGTTGTAAATGCAAGGATTGGTTGCAAAGTTACTTTTTCATCACCGTCATAACTGTGAACAGTCACTGTAGGAGGCAGTCACTAAATGAGGACTACCTATAGTGGTGGCATGTTCCTGGGAGGGTTAAGCAAAGAATGCCAGGAATGTACGTATGCCAGGAGTATATAATCCCAGCAGAATCACCAAAGGTGTAAAGGTCATACCAGCTGCCCAGATAAAAGAATATCAGAAAGTCAGTATGTGTTCCATTGATCATGGAAAGGCCTTTGATTGTGTTGGCCATGTCAAGCTGTGGAACATGCTTGGAAAAATGAGAATCCCAGAACATCTCATTCCTTTCATGCAGAATCTATACACAGATCAGGAAACTACAGTCTGGACAGAACATGGTGAAACAGACTGACTTCAGGTTGACAAAGAAGAGAGATAAGGATGTATACTCTCCCCTTATTTATTCTACCTATATGCTGAATATATTTTAAATGAAATTGGATTGGAAGAAGATAAGCATGGTTTTAAAACTGGAGGAAGAAGCATCAATAACCTGTGCTATGCTGATGACACTTCTCTGACAGCTGAAAATGCAAATAATTTGAAAGCTCTAGTATTGAAAATGAAGGAACACAGTGAAAAAATGGGACTAAGATTAAATATAAAGAAGATCAAGCTCATGACAACAGGTACAGAAACCAGCCTTAAAATTAAAAAAGATACTGAAACGGTGGATAGCTTTTGCCTTCTAGGATCAGTTATCAACAGTAAAAGAACCAGCAGTCAAGAAATACACTTGTTGTTGTTTAGTCGTTAAGTCGTGTCCGACTCTTTGTGACCCCATGAACCATATTGC